GTTATGTTAAGTGAAAAGATGCGAAAAACGTCCTTCAATAACAAAAAGACGGCCGCCGTCGGATGGTAACACCTAACAAAAGGCAAAAATGTATCAACAAGATTCAGGTATATTTATAAACGAGTGGATATGGTGCACAGATCAGAGTCTCGTAAGAGGACAGGTAGAGGTGATGCAGAGTCGGCAAGAGGCGGTGAGAGGCGGGGTGATCAAAGCGCCGCGGAGCGGGCGACGTCGTGTCGACTGCGCGCTTGGTCGGGCCGATTAGCGCGTCTCTAGCGACATAGAGTTCGATTAAATTATTACAGGAGTTGTATAATGAGTTTAGTGCGTATAGTTTATTCTATAGCATAGTGTATGATATTCACACGACTTAGAGCAATACACGTAAGTTAATTTAATGTTGGTGTGAAATTTTCCGATTCGTGTTCGTTCCGAACCCGAGACTATGGCGTTTCGGGCTGTCATTTTTTTTATTTCGAATCGGACGTACTGCGCAAACGCTCTAGAGGTTAAAATATGAAATTGACGTTCCAAAGTTCGCGCCACTATGAAATGACATAATCACTTTTTAGTGTAAGACTCAGATCAGAACTTTTCGGGGCTTGTAAATTAAAAATTTTGGCTTTATTCCTTTCTTTTGGTTAATTTTGCATGGCGTGGCGTTGACGCGACGCAGACGGCTATTAAACATTAACTTGCATGGAACGGATACTAACTAACAAACACACTGTGTATTTTTGGTTTGCTCGAGTCCACAGTGGAAATTTTATTCTGGCAAGTAAACCTCGTGGATGACCAGAGCTTAAGTTAATAGTGTCTATCGCAAACTACGGAAGAATTAGCAACATGATTTTGATATAACTATACCCAGAATATTGACCTTTTTGCGTCAAATTGGTAAAATAAAAAACAACCAATGGGCACGCTTTGAAACTTGCTCTGAATATTAAACAATTGACACAGATATGAAGCAGTTTCAGACTTGCGGATTCTCTGCGATCATTGCAAAAATCAACTCAATGGTTGAATGATCACGACAAGCCGTAATACAGTGTCCAAAACTTGAAAAAGTTTGGAAATTTACCCATAGAAAACTGTTGTAACTGTTACATGTTCCATAATTACTTCTACCCAAAGGTTGTTTGGTAGAAATCACTTAAAGCGATAAGGCCGCTCATTGTACCACAGCTTATTTTATAATTTAATTTTATTGCATTTATTTCCATTTTGGTGTACAATAAAGAATTTTTGTATTGTATTGTATGTATGAGCTGCTTCTTCACTTCGTACGATTTTCGCGTTCTTCGCCCTCAGGCGGAACTGGAAACGTCGAAGCTCATATTGAAACTCGTCATCACCCTACTTACTCACCTTCCTTCCCCTATAGACTTTCAGTTTTTCCGCGTTGTGGGTAATTATCTACTATTAAAACAATTTGACTCCTGTTAATCAGTCGAAAGTGAATTTGTACTCCTATTCCCCGTTGCACGACCTTAAAGGAATAAATGAGCTTCCAGCGAGATGATGAAAGTAATACCGAAAGCCGTCTAGTAATATTCTGATTAAATAAATGAATTACACGAGATGCGTAATTCATAATGGACGAATGTCAACAAGGGCTCCAACCTTAAGCCGAGGACAGTTATCGTCGTCGGCACTCTCTATTACGAATCTATGATTTACTTTACTCTATGTAGAGATAAGCAGACGGGTTGGCGGCGGATGGATGATAATCCTTTTTAGATGTTTATCTTTTATTTTATTTTCTTAATTTATTTCGCTTCGATCGGCTGATGGGACGGCGGCTTCGGTGCCACAATATTCACTCATGCGGACGGATTTTAACCAGTACCTATCTAATCAGCTTCATTCCATTTGCAGCAACATCAAAACGTAAAACATAAAAAACCTTAGCTTATTACGTAGGTACATTTGTGGAGTATTTATTTTGTATGGCATAAATGCAATATGTATAAGAAAAAGTAAAGGTACTTTTTAAAAAACAAAAATTTGTTTCAATGTTATAACCTTATAAAAAAGCTTAACTAAAATTATTCTTAACAACAGATAAAACAGTAACTATGGGGGATTAAAATTAGTACAATCGGAACAATAAAAGATTACAATTGTTCGTAGTAAGACTCACCATTGAATGTCGCCGTAATTTTGTGACACTACGAAGAAGCTATAGCTGCATATTTAGAAACCGGTTTTGTTAGATTATTAAAGAATTAGACCAATAATCCAGGGCTTAACGCCTTTCTTAAATACCTGTGGTATTTATGTCCAGGCTATTGTTACTACCGAATACTAGGAAATAATATAATGTTCTTAAAATAAGCAAAGTTTATCACTTTTGGAATACTGAATTTGAATACTACATAAATAAGATGCGGCATTAAACATAGGTTTTATTGTTTCAACCAGTAAGCTAAGTTTTTTTATCAACTATCGCTCGACACGCAGTATCGGGTGATAATCGAATTAAAGTGCACAATGAATAACATGATGGTGAATCGAGACTCGAGAACGGGACAAAAGGCGCTGCGTGGTTTGATCGGTACCGATCTTAGCTCTTTGTGCGTCGACTGACCGTTGTTGATTTAATCAAACGTATGACTCATGAATAGTGGAGATCTTCATAATGTGACTGTATATATACGTACATATATATATGAAAGGATTTTTTAAAGGATTTTGTAAAGCCCAGGGGTTTTTGCTAGGTTTCCACAATAAAAAAATATGCTTTAAAGTACCTAGAGATGCCACGAGTACTGATTTGGCACGCTCTCGGCCGAAATGTCGAATATTCGGCTGCCAAATGTTCGGCGTAATATCTGTGCATTTCACGCGCGATCTATTACGACCCGTCACATTGCGCTGTGTGCGGAGGTAACGGGGTTGGAGTGTTTTTGTTGAAAAATGACAAACCGATAGAATCAATACATGACAGGTTCTGGACTTGTTTTGAAGAAATCGCTACAGATAATATGCAAAATGATGAGAATATGGAGAAAAATTCTATTGCTAAATTAAACTGTTCGCCTAGATCGGAGGGAAGATCCTTACAAGTGGTGGTCAGCAAACGCAAAGCAGTAGCTATCCAACCCTGTTGAAAATTTGCTAAGATTTACCTCGTCTCCTGACAGTACTATTTATAGTGAAAGGTTATTTTCAGAAGCAGGAATTGTTTACAAGGAAAAGGGCCATCGTTTGTTACCAACCAGTGTTGAATAAATTGCCTGCCACAGATTGATTTTAAGTATTGATGCAACAATTTGAGACTAAAATACGTGATACATTTTGAACAATATGTGCTTTTTTTTCATTATTTGATATTCGGTATTCGGCCGAATAATCGTATAATATTAAAAAAGTAGCCGATTAGACCGAATACCGAATAGTGGCCGAATACTCGTGGCATCTCTATTAGAGCTTGGAAAGTGCTTTCTAGTTATAACAAAAATATTGTATAGTTAAAACTGTCTCCGTGGCCAAACGGTTTTCGTGCTGGACTGTCACGCAGAGGTCCTGGGTTCGATTCCCGGGCAGGGAGAAATATTTGTATGGCCTATATTTGTTCTCTCGTAAGTGTGGGTGTAATTTGTGGTTGTCTATGCGTGTGTCCATGGCACCCGCGACACAGGGTTTCCCTAGTGTGGGGCTATAAGTGTGTGCGTTTAAAAAACAAAGGCCTACAGGGAACAAAGGTATAAAAATAAAGCCACAGTTTTACACATAAAATAATAATAAATTCAATAACAAAAACATTTTTGAAATATACCCAAATATTATATAGTCTCTATATTCCGTTAAGATAAGCGTGTAAGATAATTGACAGGTACGTGAAATTACGGATAACAACTACCAGCGTCAGATTAGTGTCCACCACATCAGTCAGCGTCCGTGATGATCAGGCATGATCGTCTGTTAGTGTCGTGATCGCCTGATCACGCAGGTACAGTCGACGTCTCTTTGTGGCATAGTTTAAGAATGTGTCTTTGTTTGATTTACTGCTTCTAAAAGATTTTCATTTCCATGATCGTAATTCACTCTCCAAATTCAATTGCTTTTAACAAGATTAGCTTCATGTAGCTTCATTGATCAGTTTCTTTTAATTTAAACAAAACACAAAAATTGTGTTAAACAATAATACTCAACATTTTATTTCTACGCGAGGAAAGATATTTTGCATTTGGCGTCTCTTGTATTACTTGTGCATGACAATAAACGTTGAAATACGAACAATTGTATTAAGTGCAAAATGTTGGTCTTGTTCCTGTGGAAATCGGCCGAGCCGATAAACTAATGCGTAAGCAACGCAATTCAGATATGTCACGAATGTAATCCGCTTAAGATAGTAATTGTATAAACAAACCACATTGTATAACTGCTATCAGGCAAATATACGAGCTCTTATCATCTGGTACCACCTTATCACGTATTCTGCCGTGACTGAGCACATGCCTCCGTAAGTACCTACACATCCTTTGAGCATCAATATTGCAACAAAAGAAAACAGCCACAACTTACGACAGGAGTTCCCCAAGGAACTAACCTAAACCCTATCACATTCTCGACGTACAAAGTAATATACAGTACAAGTTAAATAGTCCCATTAAGCCATTAATCACATTACAAACCACAATCGATTTATAATTGTGCCTGCAGATAGACCTAATAAAAGAAATACAAAATTATAAATAAACTCGTCGCAAGCGTCGGAACAGAATTCAAACAAAACCATAGAGACTTCAATGCTGTGCACACAGCAAGTGAAGGAGCTTGGAGTGGCGGGACGCGAGGCGGGGGTGAAGAGCAGCTTACGGGAGCAGGGGCGTGCCTCTATGTACCGGAAAGCTCGCGCTCTGATTGGCCACTGCATGCACTCGAAGCACAAAAGGCGGAGATTTACGCGCGCTGTATAAATAGCAACGCCCGCCTCCGCGCCCGCCAGTCTGCTCTCCGTTCGCAGTGTGTGCACACGCGCAGCGCCGCTCGACATTGAAGTGCTGGAACTAGTGATCAACATGGTGAAGTTTGAAGGAGATTTCAGTATAAATGCGATACTTATGAACCACGCGGCTAACAAGTCGCCGCCGTCCCCGGCTCCCTCTTCGACCGACGCTGCTCCGTCGGAGGCGGACCTCAGCGATTCCGAACTGGATGTAACGGGCACCGAACCCGTCGACTGCACCAAACCCAAGGACAGCGATAGCGATGACAAGAAGGATAAGAAACATGAGAAGCCCGCGTACAGCTACAACGCCCTCATCATGATGGCCATCCGCAACAGCCCCGAGAAGAGGCTCACGCTCAACGGTATCTACGAGTACATCATGACCAACTTTCCGTACTACAGGGAGAACAGGCAGGGCTGGCAGAACTCCATCCGACACAACCTCAGCTTGAACAAGTGCTTTGTGAAAGTGCCGCGACACTACGACGACCCCGGCAAGGGCAACTACTGGATGTTGGACGCATCGGCGGAGGACGTGTTCATCGGCGGCACGACGGGTAAGCTGCGCCGGCGATCCGCGCTTAACGGCCGCTCGCGCCTTGCCTGCTTCAAAAGGCCTCTGTTCCCCGGAGGACCCCTTCCAGGAGCATACCCTCCTGCGACGTACTCACAACTTGTCGGTCTGTACTCGCAACTGCTGTATCAGAGATATGCGCCGATGCAAATGAAAACTCCTCCCGTTACTCCTAGTGCTGTGCATCCAGCTTTCCGTGGCGCCGAAGCTATGGGTTACGGGGGATTGCCTTACTCGCCGGCTCTGTACGCGGCGGAGCGCATGCCGTCGGGGCCGTACTTGGGCCAGTCGCCGCTCCTACAAAACTCGCCTATCGCACATCAGACGTCGGCGATGTTCTCTCAAATGTCACCAGTTCTTCCCCCGTCGCCACATTCTCCACCAACATCGGGCGCGTCGAGCCCCGAGCTGCCGGCACCGCCGTCGCACCACCCGCTCACGCCGCACATCTACAAGCCAGTAACGGTGTTGACGCGGCAGTGATTGCGACCTGGGGACAATCTCATAGAAGCTGAGCCAAATACTCAGAGAAGCGCTCGAGACGACTTTCCTTATCTGTGATGTAGTTTTAGTTAGTGTACCAAATGGACCAGTGGCGGCACTCGAGGTAATCTCAAATTAGTTTTAGCTGTACGCATAAGCACTGTTCGCATCGCAATACTAGCACGATCGTTGTACCTCACGTAGCATTCCGCTATCGTTTGTATTGTAAGAATAGTTTAATCTGATGTAAATAAATCCAAAGTGTACGTACATATATTTATTAGCTCTAGGTTTAAGATAGAGAGAACTATAATGAATGAATGATGAATAAAACAAGATATTGTTCCCTTAGCACTATGTTTCATTTACCTGTAATGTGGGGGTAGGTTGTTATTCTAGGAACATGCCAAGGCAAGTGTCGTCAGTGCGGTGTGGCGGCTGTAAATTATGGCGGTGTGAGGAAGCGCTGCATTGTGCGCGAGTGAATCACCGCGTCAACAAAACGCCTCTTGTTTGCAAAAAGTGCAGCAGCAAAACAAATAAACGTAACAAAACACCTTTACAAACCTTTGACGTAGTTTAATGATGTTTTACTCGGACGCGAGCTGCTCGCCGCAGCGGAGACATTGACTCATTTAGGCCTACCTACACGCGGTTGAGCGGAACGATTATTTTTACAGCAAACGAGATAAGATACAATACAATAGAAACAAACGAAAATAACTAAATGATGAATGGATAAACTTATATAAGACAGCAGTACAGTACATATTTGTCACACGTTGCATTGACATAATGTAGATAATATGTATTGCGAATTGAGCGCATATAACATAATGTTTGATCATTTATTTTACACAAGTGTTCCTGGATTACGTATTAATGATATCACAATAGGTAGGTTTAACATCAAATTGTGCCAAGTTGCATGATATGTAATAAATGTTCTAAAACTTGATACTTGTTGTTAAAACCTGAACATATTCAAGTGATTGATTCCAAAGGTTGCAATTCACGAGAGCAAATAACAAATTTGTGTAACCTTAAGGTCACTAACAAGTAACACGAAAAAGCAAAAAAGGCTTGAAAAATGAAGACTTTGATCGACATTGACATGTTTGCATTTGTAATTACAATGTTTGAGTATGTCTTTCGAAATTGATGAATACGTATTGATCGATTAATTATTGCTTTATTCATATAAATTGCCCGATTGTGGAGGCTATTGCATAGAGTTAAATACTTACTTTCCTATTCGTTTTTTTAGGATTATATATGGCCGACAAGGTTAATCAAAATTTTTAATGAATGGTTTATTGAGGTAGGTTTCAGGCTATAATTAATGTACATGGCACTTGACAACCAACTTAGTATTATCTCAAAATTGCGTTATATTAATAATTTATCTCCAAAATTTCGCTATATTTGTATGTCATTCGTATATGATTTAATTTCAAAATGACAGGACAACACCGTCGCTTTAAAATTAAATAGGTAATATTAATATAACTTAGAGCAATTTGGAGATAATACTATGTTAATTGTCAAGTGCGATACATGTAATTTTGTAGATACGGAGAGTAAGAAATTCTGTAGATACACAGATTTGTTGCCAGTGTTTCAAGGAGAATATTATGTACTTGCTTTTCAAATAAACTAACCTAAGTCAAGCTAACTTATAACTAACGAGTCACGGAAATAATAAAGTTAATTACATAGTGATTGTTGTAATCTTGTTGTGTCTACAGCACGTACAATATACATAATATTGATATTAGAAATTAACACCTGTACGATAACAGTGAATTCAAACTTATACGTAGAAGGAATTATACACGCGACAATGTAACCGCTTATTTACTAATAAAAGTTTTAGTTACGCGTGTACTTATTCAATTAACGTAGAAACTATAAAAATTGTTCCGGTATGGTTTTGCTGAACATTCTAAGTTGAGGATAAAGGGTGTGTCAATCGCAGTAAGTGTTAGTAGCCTTACGGTCGCACAATGCGGCTGAATGCGCCGTTGCCGTTGCCACAATAGAATCTGCAATGTGATAAAACTCGTCCTCCATCCATCACTAGTCCTGACGCGGTGGTGTCTTTTATGAGATGAAAGAATGAAAAGCGTTAGTGGAAAAATACTGGCTAGGACAGTACCGTTATTGATTTGGTTATTGCACATCTATCATTAGTGTTAGTTTCTAAAGTGTTTGTTTTGGACACAGTTACGTCTCACGACAAATAAAAACCTTTAAACCTTATGAGAATCATTCGCAGTTATGCAATATTAGAATTCAGTCTTAGAAGACAGAGTATTATTTTAATATTCTACACACAGAAGTATTAAATTGGAATTAAAAAACAACCAATTTTTTAAGTTAATTTACATAAATTAAATAAAACAAATAGAAATATATTATTTTTCCACAAGATAGAAATTACAATGTTGGCACACCAGAATAAAGTAAAATAATGTAGACATAAAGGAAATACTCAGCATCACTGATGTTCTGTCTTCACCAGCAGCTATTAGCTTGCTGTACCAGATTAGTGAGCGGAGTTTACATCAACAATACACTGAAAAAAGTGATCAAAGTAAGATGGTGTTTATGGTGATAATGTACCCAAGCGCATAGATTGCAACAGCAAAAGCACAACAATATTAATACATTTATTTCTAAGTAGCAATTGACACATATACGTGTTAGAAGATGTGAACATCTTAAACAAATTACGAAATTATTAAATTAAGCATTGTTTGCTACAACTACTTTAAATAATAAATTTTATAATATTGTGAGGGTTCTTAATTGAATTAAAAAATAATTTGCGAAACTAAAATCTGCCTATAAGCCCACCCAAAAGCAATCCACTCCAATTAGGTTATAGTTAAAGTTAAAGACTGTCAGTATAAAAAGCCCGCAGCCTCCCGAGACTTGAACGGTCGCGTACGTAACGAACTATTTGGCACCTACCTGTTCAATAAGAGACAGACAGACAAACTCACAGTCTGCCAGTAGCGGCCATCATTAATCATCCATCATCCCGATCGCCATTCAAACACAAAATACATTTCTTTATTTAATAAACATGCTTCTTTGAGACGAAGAGAATTGATTAAATAGCTTTCACGGTTTTTGTGGCAATCTTTGGTTTGTTACTCGTCTCTATTCCATTTTATCATTGAGCAATGTCTGTATAGTAAATGAATTAAATAACAGTACCGTCTGATTAAATTATTTATTCAAGAAATTAAAAATATAATAAGATGCTTAGATTAATGTAATTAAAGCTCTACGGTTAAACTAAATGGACGAAGAGTGTACTTTAAATTAATTTTATTTTTCGTTCTTTGTCGTGGACGGAGTCGTCAAACATGAATTTGATAAGTTGATTGCAGTTACCACAACCTCATTCGCATCGTTAACTAAGTTTGTCCGATATAATTGTAAGGGAAATCAATAGTTTCCTTAATATAGGAAATAAACACGATTTTCTGTAACTACCTGTGCGCCTTCTAAGAACATTAAAGCCTACGTGACAATATTGTGAATATCTACATTTGTGATGGGCATTTAACGAGCGACGCCGGGCTTAATTGATACAAGAATTACGGTTTTCATTAAATATACATAATGTTATGGTTTTTTGATATTTACACACGCGATTAAGAAACTTAATTTTGTAAATAACGCGAGTTTACATAAATTAAATAGGACGTTTGCACTTACCTTTCGAAAAGTCGACAAAGGTTATATTTATATACTATTATTTATTTGTTCAGCATTGGCTATAGAGCCATCAGCTTAAACAAGTAACAATTAATTGTAAATGATTATCACTAGTATCAGGTTTCTTACCACGGTTAAATGTTTTGTACTTCGTGATCTCGATTTTTAACCGTGATGATGGTTTTAAACTGTCCAGTGCATGGAATCCGGTCCTTAGTGCGTGCAGTAATAAAAACAAAAACATCTCGAGTTCAGTTTCGCGTGTGGATACAGTGAGTGTGGTTTGTGTGAAAAAGTGAGTGACAATGGTAACGCCACAACAAATCGCGATGAAGGTAGTCGTCGACAGCGCAAGAGGGTAGACAGATATGTCTGTTCATAAAGCTGTCATCTGCCGCCGTCCAGTCAACCCGTGACCATGGAGCGTGCAACCGTTCCGAAATATCGGAAAAATAAAAAGAAGTCATACCGTGGTAAGAAACCTGATACTAGTGATAATCATTTAGTGAATAACCACGAAAGTCTTAAAAAATTAATTGTAACTCAAAACGTAATAATACGTAAACTAAAAATTTATTTGTGAAAAAACTATAACTACAAAAATCCGCAATTGTTTCCTCTTCTTGTATCTAAATATCGTTATCATCTGTTTTTTAATGTGTTTAGTGTGCATTTGTCTAGTAACAGCTTTTTCACCCTTTTTTTTACCTCTTTTCTTCTGTTACCCTTCGAAACTCGTACGCAGTAATGCTCGCATTACTGCTTGGCGCATTACTGAAGGAGCTCTACTGCTACTTAACTCTAGGGTTCCAGGTTTCATACGAAGGTACGATCTCTTTATTCGTCTCCCGGTGTTTTAAAGCATAGATATAAAGGAAAAAATATAGGTATAATCTATTTCTGTAACGGAATTTCAATGATGAAATCATATGCAACGTTTTTAAGTTACGTGTGTTTGTTGTAGTTCGGTGCCACGCGTCGGTGACCTCAAACACAGTGAAGCAGATCCACCACAGTGACGAACGTTACTTTGGCGACGCGTTGGTACAATCGGCCACATTTTACGAAAAATTATTTCAACTTAAACAATCACGAACTTGCTTTATAAACTGTTAATTTACGTAAATAATTTGTTTACTTGTTTTTTCTTCTCAAAACTGCGGCCAAAAGGCTTTTATAAGACGGATACTTTAATCGGATCAAGTCGAGGTTTCCAAGATTACCAGAGATAGGAATAGACAAAGTGTATTTACGAAAACACAAGGAATAATTTATAATAGATATAGATTAGATAATACCTATCTAAGAAACCCTGGAATTACTTTATTGTAGTTTGTTCTTTATTTTTACACGAAACTACTTTATACCACGGGTATATTTATTTTGCGGGTATATAATTTAATTTTTTGGCTTTTGTTTTTAATCGAGGTGTTCCCTGATATGTACATGTTTATTTAAACGATAAATTTGAATATGCGAATATAATTTATTTTATACGAATTGGATACGAATACGATATAAGATATAATACGAATTGGATATGCCTTGAAATAAAATATTTACAATGTAGTAGATTTGTCACAATGACGTAATTTGCTATATCAGTAAGTAAA